TATTATTGCATCATATCTTTTGCAGTATTTCACATGTACCGAGTTCTTTCTTTCAGCCTTTAAACTTCAGCATTATCATATTAATATTATAATCATTAGAATATTTTCTATTTAGGCTAACTTAAAAAGATATTCTTAAAGATATTTTTGGCAACATTTTATTCAAATGTAGCCAAATAAGGGATAAAATACAAAACATGGCAAATCTTAAGAATTATTCACAATGAGATATTAACTTTCCAAATTTTTTTTTGGCCTTACGACCTCTGAGAATCAATACATTTCTGAAAGCTCTTATGAATGGTACAATTATGTTTAGATTTGAACCCAAATTACAATAACAAAACTGCATAGAATATTAGGTTTGTTCACACATCGCCTCATAGTTATAACATAAGCAGAGGTTTACACCGGAAATTTTCTAAATTTCTTCCGGTTTAAGGACGCTTGTTATTGTTTACATTAGACCACCCATCCATACGTTATATTGTTAACACTATTAATATAATAATATTGGTTGGCCCGCTTTTTCGGATTTAGGCGTAAAAATCAATCGGAAGTTGTAACCCGGAAGTCGTACTACGAATTTCAACCCTTAGCGCCATCTATGCTTAGCTTTTCACGGTCAACCAACCATGGGTCATTGCGTTTTCGAAACAGTTTTACTTTTTTTTCATCCAAACGGCATAATAGTCAGTTTTATTCAATTAATTCTCGATTTTTACTTTTAAAATTATTGTTATTTAGGATGATATTCGAAGGCGGAAGCTTGCAGAAGAAAGACTAGCTAAAGAGAATGAATTCCTCCGGACTTCTTTGCGTGGATCCAAAAAGCTCCAAGCCTTAGAATCATATCCTCCGCAACATGGAATGGAAAACACAGCCTTTGAATCAGATGACTCGGTTCCTATCGGAAGGCTGAGGGTTGATCTCGAGCTTGCTAAAACATATGGTATGTGATGACTCTTTTGTTAGAGGTTTGTTTTAAAGCAATTTATAAGAACGATTTTTCTTCTTTTAAAAAGAATTGGTTCATTCGGTTCCTATCAAGAAGACGAGAATCGAAGAAAAAACTTGTGCTTTCCAGCTTGCCAAAACATATGATATGTGATGACTATTATTAAAGGTTTGTCTTAAAGCTATTTAAAAAAAAAAAAACGTTTTTTTCGACTTTTAAAAGGAATTAGATTACTCGGTTCCCATCGGGAGGCTGAGAGTCGATCTCGAGCTTGCTAAAACATATGATATGTGATGACTCTATTGTTAAATGTTTGCTTTAAAGCCATTTAAAAGAACAGTTTTTTGACTTTTATGAAGAATCAGATGGAGGCTGAGAATCGAAAATAAGACAGGTGCTCTAGAGCTTCATCGTATGTGCTGACTCTAATTGTCAGAGGTTTGCTTTAAAGAACGATTTTCAGAAAACTTCTACTTTCCATTTCAAAATTTTCATTCACTCAAAATGCAGGGTAATTCAAAATGAATATAACGATTGCAAACGGCTATAACTATTTAATTAAAGAGAATTTATCGATAAGATTTACAGCGTTTTTTAAAGGTGCTTATTTTCAATTTTCGTTTTTTAAAAAGGCCTTAAAGGTGCTTTTTTTATTGGATGTTTTTAAAAAGTTCTTAATTTTTCCATTTTGAAAATGAGATTTTTTCTTTACCATGTCGATTTTCGCAACTGCAAGAGCTTGGTTTTCACATAGTTCTATTCAACGTTTTCACAATTCATTCATAGGTAATGCATTTCGGCGTACCGTCGATCCGTAACGTATGAAAGTGCCAATCATTTTACATGTTTGATGAAATACTTGCGAGTCCACATGTGCGTCTACAGAGCTGGGTTCAGTGAGATTCTTACACTCTCATGTGCAACTCTGCTGCACTTTGCCAGATATTCTCAATTTCAGGCTTCATTTTCCACCCTCTGATATCGAAGTGAATAATCTCTCGACAGGGCTCGAAAAACCTCAGAAATTTTACCCGTCCCCGAGGACGGCTTGCCCAACAATGTACCCGTCCTCCTTTGAAACTAAGCCGTAGCTTCTAAATAAATAAAAATATAATTTTCTCTTATTTATTACAAGCATTTGTTATAATTTTCTCTTATTTATTACAAACATTTATATAAATTGCACAATGAATTAGTTGTTACTTGGATTACATTATACAGTAATAAACAAAATACTAGGTTAATAATAGTAACCTAGTATTTCTTTTATGAAATAATTTAAATGATAAAGGTCAAGTTATCTGGAATGTCAATTTATCCGAGGGTACTGCGTTTTTTAAGTGAATCAAATATGACGTTTGCCAGTTCTACAATCAAGCCAATGATTTACAGAGGTTTCTGCACAGAAATCTGAAAGGGGTTTTCCATTTAGGTGGATGTTCATAATTACGTTTAACGCTTCTTGTTTAAGACTAGTAAGTAATGTGTTTTTTTTTTTGTTCCTTTGTAAGTTCATTGCTGAAAAGCCCCTTTCAACCACTGCAGTACTGCCAGACAGAGAAAACATCAATTCTAATAACAAGAATTGAAAATGTATAACGAAAATTAACGGGAAAATAGCCGTTCGCGCGGACATCGGATTCGAAAAATTCGTTCTTCGCGGGGAATTGTTGACAGCCGAGGACGGGCGGTTTTTCGAGCCCTGTCTCTCGATCTTTTTATGGAGGCTAATATAATCAAGAAAATTATTATTTATTAATTTATTAATTATTTATTTATTTTTTTTATCAGAAATTAGTTATTTTATCGTGATCATGTAAAGTGCTTGAAAACTATTTTACATTTTATTATTGTATAAACTGCTTAAAAAGTACTTAAAAGGTGCTTATTTTTTGTTGAGAAATTTGAAATTAATTTTTTTTAATTATAATTTTAAAGTGTTGAGCATAATCTTGTATGTCATACAATTGAAAAACTCCTTGAAAAAGGTTTTTGCAGTAACAGGACCCTCTTTGCACACATTCACAAAAGCAGGATCCTGGTTGAAAGAATGTGACTTCACGTTTATTTTATAATCTCAAATGACAAGTCATTTTTTCACAATTTTACAAAAACTGATCTTTCACAAAATGTCTGGACAGACCCCTGATGTGAATATCAGCTCTTTGCATCAAAATTATAATAAATGAACAGTTTTAAAGTTGCATAAAATTGACACTTAAAATTGAGTGTCAAAAAATTTTTCTAAAGTGATTTTAGGATTTTCGCTGAATATATTTCATAGTTGTAGTCAAGTAAGCGAAGTAAAAGAAGATGTTAGAGAATTTTTAAATTTCAAAATTACTTCACGCGTGATGATTATATATATTTTATATCTTCATTTTATGGTATAATTTTAAATAAAAAAAAAATTTTAATAGTATCTTCAAACCAAGTGGTTAAAAGTGATAGCTCGAATTCGAAATTAGCGTGTCGTAATAACATCGTATTAACAATATTCTTATTTAAAAAAAGTTACACGAAAAATGGCCAAAAAACGAATAATAACTACCCACAAAAAGCAATCAGAAAACATTGTTGTATTATGACGTAATCCTTACAAACCAAGTGGTTTAAAGTGATACTTCGAATTTGAAATTTGCATGTCTTATTAACAATATTCAAATTTAAAAAAGAAATGCAAGAAAACGGCCAAAAAACTATTAGTAACTATCCTAAAATAGGAGATCGGGAAACATTGTGGATTTATGACGTAATCGCTACGAACCAAGTGGTTAAAAGTGATACTTCAAATTTGAAATTTGTATGTCGTAATAGCATCGTATTAACAATGTTCAAATTTTAAAAAGAAATGCAAGAAAACGGCCAAAAAACAATTAGTAACTACCCTAAAATAGGAGATCGGGAAACATTGTGGATTTATGGCGTAGTCGGTACGAACCAAGTGGTTAAAAGTGATACTTCTAATTTGAAATTTGCATGTCGTAATAACATCGTATTAATAAAATTTGAAAAGCTGTGCAGAAATGGATGGAAAAACGATGATATATACAGAAAAGGGAGATGAAATCGTTGCAAACTAAGCTCATCAAGAAGTAAATATTCAAATTTGCTTTTCATCGTACAAATTTAATTGTTTTTTCTATTTAAGAAAACACACACACTTGGAAATGGCTAAAGTGTTGTGTAAACGAATTANTTTAATAAATAATTTTTTGTTGTTGTCAAATAAGCATTATGATTTAAAAATATACAATTTCTGCTTCTACGTAATTGTAAAATCTGGTTGACATGTACTTTAGCGTATAACAATAATATCGAATAGGTCCTTGAAAAATTTGATTTTAGGTCCTTGAAAGTCATTGAAAAGTCCTTGAATTTTTTTTAAAAGATTGAGTGTGAACCCTGTAATAACTACCCACAAAAAGCAATCAGAAAACATTGTTGTATTATGACGTAATCCTTACGAACCAAGTGGTTTAAAGTGATACTTCAAATTTGAAATTTGCGTGTCTTATTAACAATATTCAAATTTAAGAAAGAAATGCAAAAAAACGGCCAAAAAACTATTAGTAACTATCCTAAAATAGGAGATCAGAAAACATTGTGGATTTATGACGTAATCGCTACGAACCAAGTGGTTAAAAGTGATACTTCGAACTTGAAATTTGCATGTCGTAATAGCATCGTATTAACAATGTTCAAATTTTAAAAAGATATGCAAGAAAACGGCCAAAAAACAATTAGTAACTACCCTAATATAGGAGATCGGGAAACATTGTGGATTTATGACGTAATTGCTACAAACCAAGTGGTTAAAAGTGATACTTCGAACCATTTAAATTTGAAATTTGCATGTCGTAATAGCATCGTATTAACAATGTTCAAATTTAAAAAAGAAATGCAACAAAACGGCCAAAAAACTATTAGTAACTACCCTAAAATAGGAGATCGGAAAACATTGTGGATTTATGACGTAATCGCTACGAACCAAGTGGTTAAAAGTGATACTTCGAATTTGAAATTTGCATGTCGTAATGACATCATATTAACAATGTTCAAATTTAAAAAAGAAATTCAAGAAAACGGCCACAAAACTATTAGTAATTTCCCTAAAATAGGAGATCGGAAAACATTGTGGATTTATGACGTAATCGCTACGAACCAAGTGGTTAAAAGTGATACTTCGAATTTTAAATTTGCATGTCGTAATAGCATCGTATTAACAATGTTCAAATTTAAAAAGAAATGCAAGAAAACGGCCAAAAAACAATTAGTAACTACCATAAAATAAGAGATCGGGAAACATTGTGGATTTATGACGTAATAGGTACGAACCAAGTGGTTAAAAGTGATACTTCGAATTTGAAATTTGCATGTCGCAATGACATCGTATTAACAATATTCAAATTTAAAAAAGATATGTAAGAAAACGGCCAAAAAACGATTAGTAACTACCCTAAAATAGGAGATCAGAAAACATTGTGGATTTATGGCGTAATCGCAACGAACCAAGTGGTTAAAAGTGATACTTCTAATTTGAAATTTGCATGTCGTAATAACATCGTATTAATAAAATTTGAAAAGCTGTGCAGAAATGGATGGAAAAACGATGATATATACAGAAAAGGGAGATGAAATCGTTGCAAACTAAGCTCATCAAGAAGTAAATATTTAAATTTGCTTTTCATCGTACAAATTTAATTGTTTTTTCTATTTAAGAAAACACACACACTTGGAAATGGCTAAAGTGTTGTGTAAACGAATTATTTTTTTTTAGGGGGGGGGATGGAGGCACAAGTTTTTTTTATAGGATATACATGAATATATAATAAAGGGACTAAAAAGAAGAAAAAAAAGAAATTAACGAAGAAAATATTGAAAAATGATAAGTTATATTTACTGCACATAAGCTGGAAGTACATAAAATAAGTTAAAATACAAAGAAATCAAGGGGAAAAATGAATATTTTTAAAGAGAAGAAAATTTTTTAATAAATAAAATGTTTTAAAAAAAATTTAAATTTTTTTAAAAAACCTTTATTTATAAATAGTTTTTCTTCTCTTTAAAATTATATTTTTTTCATTCTAAAAAGTTTTATTGACTGCTCAAAAACTGCAAATATCCTCCTTTTTGCTGATATAATCGTGTGAGAGATTTCTTTTAATTTTTTTGTTTTCTGGCTTTTTAATATTTTTTAAAAATATTTTATTTTCCTTCTCTTTTCATTAATCTTTATATGTATATATTGAAAATAAGTTTGAAATAAAAGAAAGCAGAACAAAATGAACATAAACGACACAGTGGTGGTCTTTATGAAAGATGTCTTTACGTTTGAACGACTAAAGGATCATATTTCTTGTTCATGGTAATCCATGCTGAGGCCTCTTTTCTGTGAGGCAGGAGTGGCTTTTGTCCCCTCACATTACATAAATGAAGGGACACAGCCCCTTTTAACATTATAATTTTTCACTTGATATTTGTGTCATTAAATATACAATTCTTGATCGCCATTTTGTGAGTTTCAGATAATTCAGACTCGTTTAATAATAATAATTTGTATATATATATGCAGTAGAGCGCCGATTATCCGAACTGCTTGGAACCGAATGTGGTTCGGATAATTGGAAAGTTGTTAAAAATCTAGTTTGATTATTATTTATGCACTAACTTCCCTTCACACTTTTTCTAGGCTTAGGACTGGCAGTACTATCTGAAATAGCTCTGCATGTTTACAAGTTTTTTTTCAATTTGTAAATATTTTTTATTTTTTTAACTTTTTTTTTTCATTTTCAATTATTTTTATAATGTTTCAACTTTTTAAAATTTTTTTTGTTTTTAATTACTGATTTCACCACATTTTTCTTTATTTTCCATTGCAAAAGAAATCCAGCAAAGACTTTTGTTTTAAAGAAGATGGTCTTTTTTGAGCAGCCACATCCCTCATTCTTTTTAAATAAATCAACTGAACTGGATCAACATCATTTTGACGTTCTAGCCAATTCATTGCAATATATCTAACGAATTGCATGCTTCTATATGAGAAGGTCCACTATCTTGAACTTGATCACCTACTTCTTCCTCTTCATCTGTGGAGTTCCGATTTCCATTTAAAATTTCTGCGATCATTTCATCATCATTTAAAATTTGAAATCCTGGGTCGTTTTCAGTGTCTAGACCCCAGTCTTCTATTTCATCTGCTGTATAACATGGCATCTTTTCATCGGGAAGATCTACTGGTTCAGAAACTTCAGTTTCGTTTATTTTTTTGTTAAGAGTTTTATTTCAAGAATTAAGATTCCAAACACTGTAATCACTAATCTTTAACCATAAGTGACAAGTACCCATTCCCCAATTGTAGAACTACAGCACATATCTATTCATAAACTCCTTCCTCATTCCAACAACTGTCAAATTGCATTCTTGGAACATAATTTTCAGTTGAAGAGGGCTAAAGGGGTATGTAGGTTTAACTGTATAACAGTACATGTATGTATTGGCTACTATAGGAAAACTGCTAAAAAAAAGGTTGTAAATTAAATATGGTCTTCAGATGTAGCGGATATTAAACTTGTAAAAAAAAAAAGAAGGAAGCGAATATGGACATGGTTCGGATAATAAGGGTTCGGATGATCGGCGCTCTACTTTATATATATATATATATACAGGGCTGATTGTGCTCTGGAAAAAACCCGGATTTCCGGACTTTTCGCTAACAGTGATCCGGAAGTTTCCGGAGATCGAAGGTCCAGACGTTTCAGAAAATCATTGATCACAGAAGTTTCCGGAAATCAAATTTTCAAAGGTGGAACTTAAAAACACAGTTTATTTTATTTCTTTGTTAGAGAGAGCCAGAGAGATACTTTATAAGCTTATATTCATAATTAATATTCATTTTTTTATCAGTAAATAGTTGTTATAATCATAAACTCAAGAAGGAAAGACATATTTGTAAATTTTAATTACTTCTCCAGGTCATCATAGGTATGTGTAAAATTTTAAAAATATTTTAAGTAAACTAAGAAATATTGAGAAAATGGAAAAAACCTTGTTTAAATTCTTTAAATTTTAACTCAAGAAATTTTCCGGAATTTTAACTTGGGCTCACAATCACCCCTGTATATATATAGCATAATAAATAAATACGAAAAGGACAAAAGTTTTTTAAAAAAATGAAGAAAATTATGAAAAACAATAAGTTTTATTTACTGCATGTAAGCTGCAAGTCAATCAAACTCATAAAATAAGTTCAAAATGTAGAAAAAACATGGAAAATATTGCAGAATAAAGAAAAAAAAAGAAAAGTAATAATAATGAAAATAATGAAGATCCGAAAAAGAAAAAAAAAAAATCCTAAAAAAGGAAGAAAACAAATTCATAAAAATCCGGAAACTAAAATATATCTTTTCATCAGCTCAAACGATTATATCCGCCAAAAAGAGTGCTTTCTAATATTGTATCAATATAGCCAAAGCAAAATATATCAATACAATAATGTGAGGAGCACTCAAAAAAAAATATTTTTTTTTACAAGAAATAAAATAGAACACATTTTTTTTTTTTTTTTTTTTTTTTTTTTTTTTTTTTTTTTTTNTTTTTTTTTTTTTTTTAAGGATTTCTTTTTCGGATTTTTATTACTATTATTTTTCTTTTCCCCTTTTTTTCATTGTTTGTTCTGTAATTATTTCTACATTTCGAACTTTTTCATGAATAATTTTGTTGAATGAATGTGTAGGTGCTTCAGAACTCCTTCAAAGCTTGTACAGACTGAGTGCTAGCCTTCAAGGGAATGGGCACAAGGATTCTGATCTTCTGCTGGTGGAAGGTTTGATTAGAAATAAAGATTTTCAAAACATATTAGACATTCACAATAAAGTACAAGAGGTTTGCTGTTTCAAGTGTCCTCCCACACCTCTCTCTACTCAAGCTCAAAATATCACCCAAGAGGTACTTTTTGTTGATTTATTTTAACTGTGAAAATATTATCTAATCATTATTTAAAACTCAAAGGTAACCACCTTTGGTAATACCATTTGGAAAGGTAATACCATTCTTACGGACAACAAAATATGGCACAGTCATTAATGAATCATGACATATGAATTGTTCTCTTTTATGTAAAGTCATTACTTTTGATAATACACTCCCATTAAAATGCTCTTTTATGTTCTTTTAAAAGTCAATTAAAAACTTCCATAAAATTGTTAGCTGTGTAAATATAAAAAAAACATACTTGGAATTTATTCATTATGTATGGTATTCTATGTTGTGCTGTTGGATCTGTTTCATGTTAAAGAACAGGGTGCGTAATGTTTTTAAAAATTACTTAAAGGTGCTTATTTTCGATTATCCTTTTTTAAAAGGTGCTTTTTCAATCGGGGATTTGTAAAAAGTGCTTAATTTTTTCTTTTTCAAAATTATATCTTTTCTTTGCCGCTTCGAATGTCCTCGTAAGTTACGAAAAATTCATGTTTTTTACTATTTTTCTTTGAATATTTAGCAGAAACTAGTTTTTTTTAAATCATGATTGTGTAAAACCATTAAAAATATTTTTACATTTTGTTAATTTTATGTTTATAAATAGACTTTAAACAATGGCAAGAAAAATTTTTTTACTACTGTGCATATCCTAATAAAAAAAAATTTAATTTCTTTTTTTGCGGGCCCTGTCTGTAGATTTTTTTCTTCTTAATTTTTCTTTTATAAAATGATTAAACATATTTTTAGAGTGCTTACAAGGTGCTCATTTTTTTGTTAAAAAATTTGGCTGTTCACTCTGAAGAAGCATTTTTATTAATGGTTATTATTAATGTTATAGAAGCGTTCATTTATTTTCATAGTTTCGTCTGTTAAAAAATAATGACCACTCGAAGCGTAATTAATGGGATATTTAAAGATGATATTTTAGTTATACAAAGCTATTTCATTTACTATAGAATTATTTAAATATGTTCAGCTGTTTTTTTTTTCTTTCTGTTTTTTTCCCTTAAGTTTTTTTCAGCATAAATACAGGGGATTTTGTTTCTTATTTTTGTCTTTTAAAGAATGGTAATCACTCAAAGTGTAATCTATGGAATATTTAATGATGGTACAGTGTTTTCATTGCAGAAAAAAAAGGGGTGAGAATTTCTCACCCTTTCTCAAAAACAGGGTGAGATTTCAAAAAGTTAAGTGAGATATCTAAAAATTAAAAAAACGAAAAACAACGAGACTTGAAAAAAAATCATTTCTTTAATTATAATACATTTTTAACATCTTCTAATTTTTAAAGCATTCAATATTTTTTTTGCATTATCATATGGAAAATGTTCTACATCTACTTTTTCATCAGCTATTCTCATTTGGTTGCTCAAATGCGTGTTTGTTTCTTTTTGATCGTTTCTACCCACATTTGTTTCATTTTCATTTGTCCGTTTCAGAGTAGATGATATTGCCTTTACAAGGTATTTGTTCATCTTACATTAATGCGCAAAAAATTTGAACTTCTTACATGGAGAAACCTTACCTACGGTAAACACGTGGTTGCAGAGAAATGCTTTCTGAAAGAGGTTCCGAGGGATGGTGTTCTGTTGTTCTTAAAGGTTCTGAACAATACTGGTAAATAGGGAAGCTAGATAATGGGACAGATGTTGAAAATAATGAAAGATCCAGAAGAAAAGTGAAACTGATTTAATTCTAAATGGCGCAATGAGATATTGTTTTCAAAATGCAAGAAATTCGCGATTTTTGAAATTGGTTTATAGAATGCGCGAATTTCTCGCATTAATCATTTTTTAATGTGAGAAAAGAAAAAAATATGCGAGGTTCTCGCGCTGTAGTGAAGACACGGTGGTATTTCAGCTATATTAAACTATTTCATTTACTATAGCATTATTTGAGTATGTTCAGTTGTTCCTCTAAGATTTTTAAACAATTAAAACTAGTATAGTTAGCCCCATACAAATATTTTTTTCCAAATTTGAGTGGCTATCCTGTTAAATTTATTCTATTTATTGTTTTCTATTATTTATTTGTTTATTCTATTTTTTATTTTCTATTTATTTATTTATTCTATTTTTCATTTTCTATTATATATTTATTTATTCTATTTTTCATTTTCTATTGTATATTTATTTATTCTATTATTTATTATTTTCTATTATGTATTATTTTTTATTTATTTATTCTATTTATTATTATTTATTTATTCTATTCTATATTGTATCTGTTTCATGTTAAAGAAGCATTCAATTCATTATTATTAAAGGTTATCAATGACCTACAAGAGAGTCCATCTGTGGATGCTGTGGAACTTGTAGATATTCTGAGCAAGTTTGAGGTGGAGGGACTTACGTACGCTCATGACAAGATCGCTGAGAGGCAGGCAATACCGAGCATCACTCCAGATGAAGAGCTTTTAGATCGGGCCTCTCAGTATACAGAGGAGAGCGTCAAAATTGTCAGAATCGATAAGACGAATGAGCCTCTGGTGAGTCCTCTATTTAACCTTATACAGACTCTAAAGGCAATTTTACAGTTGTTCCTAATAGGGTTACTTAACTACCAACTCTACTGGATTTTACCAGTTTCTCCTGGTTTACTGGCTCCATAAAATTTCTGATATTTAAGATATACAGTTTAGAAATGATTATACAGTTTAGAAAATTCCCTATAATTGAGTAAGTTTCCTGAAAAAATCCCTTTCGAAATAGAATTTTTGCACAGGTCATTGCTTGCTTAAATATTTAAATAAGTATTGCGAATAGTACGTAACGAAGTGAGCCTCATTTATTTAAATGAATTTAAAACTTTTTTTTGTTCTAAAATGTTCAGTTTATTCTTATTCAGAACTTCCTTTTAAATTAATAAAAAAAAATTTAACTATCTTGTATGAACTAAATGCCTATTAATATTGGAAAGTATGAGTAAACATAATTCATAACATTTCAAGTTCGTTTAATGTCAGTCATAACTGGAAAATATTGCAGTTTTTTTATTTTGATGTCTACAAAAATCCCTAATTCCTTATGTGTAAAATATTTAGTACATTATGCAACAATTATCATGAAATTTATATTATTTTGTAAAATCATCTGGATTTTTTCCTATTCATGTTGGAAGCTAAGATGTACCCTATTTTTAAGTCCAAAAGTTGACTTTTTAAATTCTAATTTCCAATGATTTCTGCATAGTTTGGAATCAAGTATATTTCAAGGGTGCGTAGCGTTTTTAAAAAGTGCTTATTTTTGATTTGTATTTTTTTAAAAACCCTTAAAGGTGCTCTTTTAATTCAGAGTTTGCAAAAAGTGTTTAATTTTCTATACAGGGTTCCCACGGTCCTTAAAAGTCCTTAAAAACTGCTTAGTTTTTATTTTGAAAAGTAAGGGTCCTTAAAAGTACTTAATTTTGATTCTTAAGAGTCCTTAATTTCTAGTATCACTAGTTGGTTGGAAAAATTTTTTTATCTTAGAAAAATATCCACAATTAAAAAGTACGTCTTTTGCCTGGAATGAGACCCTGCATCAAGGGTAGAACATTTTGAATGCGTGTGAGGGTAGGGGCTACAGGCAAGTGGAAGAAAACACACCCTTATTGTTTATTATTATTATTATTTTTTCATTAAAATATTCTTTCTTTCTGGATCGTTCTGAAAGAAAAACATTTAGTGTGGGGAGAGGGGAGCGTGATACTGCAGGTGGGTAGAGTTCTTGACTTACTTTTAGACAGTACTTAGAGGTACTTTATCAGCATTGACCTTCTACATCCATAGGATTAGAGAAATTCAATTCTTCTGATAACACTTGTGGAAGCTTTGATACTTCATTCAAATGTAAAATTGTTAGAAATGCCCAGGAAAGTGTGTTTTTAAAAATTTATGGACACTTGATGAAAAATATAAGGAATGGCTAACAGCATCTAGTGATCGTCACAAGGCAAAGCAGATTTTTTCATTTTATCATATTTTCTTCTGAAATTTAATTTTATAAATGACTCCATTTTTTAATATTAGGGATACTATGAATATTCAGAGAGGTATAATTTTAATCAGGAAAGTCATTTTCGTCATTTTATCATTGACACTTTTTGTTTTAAAAAGAGTGAAATGTTTGTTTTCTTTTTTCACTTTTGCTGTTTTGTTTTTTATATATATATATATAGCGCTGCATTTCAACAGCGTTTCTAATATATATTTTATCTCTACTTTTTCTTTTAAAGTTATACAGATAATTAGATAACCGGTAAAATCGAAAATTGATTTTCTGCATTGCAAGTTTTGTTTTAAGAATTTATGAAAATTTTCTGTTTCTCTCTTGCTTTTTTGATTAAATGGGGTTTTTTTTTGATAGCATATTTTAAAAAGCCTTCTTTTTCATCATTTTTTTCTAAAAATCCGGCAATTTTCTAAAAATTTTCAACGTTACATTTTTTTTATAAAAATTGAGAACAATTATTTTTTTTTGTTTGGCTCTCCTATTTTTTTTTTTTTTAAAAACAAAGCAAGAACTTTTGTTATGATGCTGCAATTTTAATGAGCACTACTCTTAGACATTTTTAAATCAATCTATCGCGGATTATCAACTTAACACGCATATCGGCAAGCCGATATAATTTACTTTCATTTTAGACGATGCATTAGGTATATGGTTTAAGACAATGCTCGCGGTTTAACGTGCTAGGATTCTTGCCTATGCTAACGCTGTGCTGAAAAAGACTATTTTGATTTCGTCTAGCTGCGAAGAAAATTTGTGATTACATTTTTACCTACGAAGATGATGTTCGTGATGTTGAATAACGAAGAGCGAGGAACATCGTTGAAATATAGAACGCAATGCATAGTTTCTTTATGCGCCATTTTTTACCTTGGGATTTTACGTTTCTTGAATATTATTTTCAGTGGGACTTATTTTGTGATCACTGTGCGTTTTATTTCGATGGGATATAACGTTTCAAGTAAATTATTTCAAGTGAGACTTTTGCTACTTAGCGATCATTGCGCATTATTTCGTCACTTTTTTTTTCTGTCTGGATTTATCATTGTACATTATTTTCAGCAGACTTACTGTTCCTTGGCGATCGCTGTTATCTTAAATTTTCATTCTGAATTTAATATATTAATGAAAAGAAATCATGAATTTAAAAAAAGATTCTTTATTGATTTTTTTTAAAAGTGATACAATTGAATATTTTATATATTTTGTATTTAACTAATTTATACTTTGTCATAAAAAGTTAGTTTTTTTTTTTATTTATTTTATTCACATAAATATAATAATTTGATAGAATTTGATTAGTTTTTAAACCAATAAATCTTCAGTAGCTTTTAGTTTCAAAAAAATTAAAACAAAACCTACATTTAATTAATTTGCTTTTCTTTTTGAGGAAATTGAAACAGAGTTTCCATTCTTTTTTTTTTTTTTAATTTGGCTGTTAGTTAAAATTACTAAATTTTTTAAAATTAAATGAAAAGTTAAGCAAGGTTTTAACGCTTTTCAATAATTTAACAATTTCTTTTCCCTTAGTACTAAGTATATTCCGATTTTAATCATTAAATTTTTTATATTAATTTTGTGATTTTAATAAATCTTTAGCTTATTATAATTAGGTTTGACTTACTTTAAAATAATTGTCTTAACTTCAATAAGCTTATATTTGATAGTTTCTTTTTGTCTTGGTTTGGTATTAGAGCACTCAAAATAATATTTTTATTAATTTAATGAATTTACCATCTTAATTTATATATTTCTATCTGTTTACCCAGTTTTTTTCTATTTTTAAAATAGAAAATCTTAATGTTTAATCTGCATTCTTTGAGGGTTTTTTTCTTTATATTCTTGAAAGCTTATGTGAGGTAATTAAATGCAATTTAATTTTAATTAAATGCAGATTATTAGTATTAAACATTTCTTTATGTAGTTTTTTTTTAAAATTTTTTAAAGGATGACTGAGTTGAAGAAAAGCTATTCCATTTTTTTAATCTATTATTATTTATCTATGATGTTTTATTTGATGATAAATAATCATTGTGCCATTTTTAAGGTCCTTAATTTTTTTGATAAAAGTCTTTAAAAGTGCTTAATTTTTGCTTTGAGAAAAGAGTGGGAACCCTGATATTTGTAAAAGATATTTATCTTTGCTGTGCCGTTTGTTGTCAAAATTACAAAAAATGTAAGATTTTCACAATTTTCTCTGCTATATTTATCTGAAATTAGTTCTTTAATCATGATTATATTAAGTTTTTGAAAATGTTTTTGAATTCTATGGATTTTATATTTATAAATTAAGAACTTTAAACGATTGAGAAAATTTTTTTTATTACTGCACAGATCCTAATTATGATTTTTTTTTGGAAAGTGATTAAAAATATTTTTTGAGTGCTTGAAAAGTACTTAAAAGGTGCTTATTTTTTGTTGAAAAATCTGGCTATGCACCCTGTTTCATCCGCAAGCTGACGTTTACTGTAGAAAATTCAACCTAATCTGAAGAGATAAGCACAGGGCTCATTTTTGTGTCATTATTTAAAAATAAAACCTTTGTTTATTAAAATAAAGCTTGTGTTTGTTTTTACTTTAAGACAGTCTTAAATCAATTCATCTTTATTTTAATTCAAAAAATTAAGCAATGCTATTGATGTTATAGAAGGAATTTTTTTTTGGGAATTAAAATTTTCTTTTGTTTTAGATTTATTTCTTTTATTTATTTTTGATTGATTTAAAGATTTCTGATTGATAAATTTCAAACATACTTACAACGCCCAGGCCTATTTTTACATAAACTATAATACTTCTTGATTTTTTTTTAAAAATGTTGTTTGATCACTGGGTAGGCGGTCTATTTATTTGGCCGGATACCGGACCTTCGATTTATTTGGCCGGACCTTCGATTTATTTGACAAATTATTCTTTTATAATTTCAGACAAGGCTTAAATTATTACGAACAAAAACTTTTTATTGTCTATTATTTAGTTCCTTTAATATCTATCTATCTAAGACACAATACTTTTTAATTGAAAAAATTCTAATTCCTCAGAGGTGCAGTATTGCTTATCTCACACAGTGTTAAGCATTTTTTATAACTGAAAGCAGACTATTTTATAAAGATTTTTATCTCTTTTTATAAATGATGTTTCTGATTCCACTACGTTTTGTTGTCTTTTCCCTTAATTAATTTTGTACTTAATGAATTATTTCATTTCAATTTCTAGATATGCAATTTTTTCATTTTTATTTCAATTGATCA